CGTTTACCATATTATATTGAATACAATGAACGCAAATATTATTTGCGTATACTGTATGACTTAGGTATCTCATCTCATATCTATTAAATTAAAAAAAAACATGCAATAACTAAACATATGTGTGGAGACTTTAATATCAATCTCCTGGAAACTTCTTCCATTAGTATTAAATTTTGTTCTTTGTTCAAATCCTATAATCTTAATAATTTATTCTTTGAAGCTACACGTATTGCAGGGTGTAGTGCAACTTGTATTGATAATATTTTTACAGGTGTTGTACCAATCAACAAATCAATAATTCAAAAACTTAGTTCAGATCACTGTGGACAACTGGTTTCGTTACCTTATATGCACAAAAAACAGGTAATTGAGAAAATTGTGTTTGTTCCTTTTTTTTATAAGATAAGGGTGACAAACGAGCACACAGTCCACCTGATGGTAAGTGGTTGCTGCGGCCCATAGACATCTACATCTATCCTCGTTTGCGAATCAAAATGCAGATGCGTTGCCACCCGTGAGGACTAAGATGGAATGCCTCATTTCCAGTAAAAAGGGCATCCGGCCACCTGCACTCCCCAAGCGAAACGCAGAGGTAAATCTCTACTTCACGCTGGTATTCTGTGAGGTCGTGGTACCACCCCGGTTCGAGCCGGCCCATCCGTGCGACAGCAAAAGGTGCCGCGTGGCTCTACCACTGGTAAAATCCTATTAATGCAAAACACCTGGAGAGATTTAGAAGTAATATGGTAAAAAACCTTCCATCCCTTTCTTATAAGGACAATGCAGACTATTTATATAGAGAATTATTTACCCTTATAAACAATGAATTTAATAAAACATTCACTTCTAAAACATTCTCCAGAAACAGTCGCAAGGCATTTAATGAGTGGGCGACAGTAGGAATTCAAAAAAGCAGTTGAAGGTTATATGACCTTTACCATGAAAGATCGTATAATCTTTCCGATGCTTTTAAAGAATATGTAAATTAAAACAATTATTAATATAATATAAAAAATTATTCTAAAATGTTTAAAAGAGTTTGCTCCACAGCCAAATCATTACATATTAGTAACAAAATTAAGACGGCTAAGAATAAAATTAAAATTACGTGGAGTATAATTAACAGCGAAACCGGTAAAGAGAAACCTCGTAACTCAAACTATCAATTAAATTAATAATGAATTGACTAAATCAAATCAAGAAGTTGCAGCGGTGTTTGAGATATTTTTCACTGATGTTCCTATCTTGACAACAACGTTATTGAATACTTTTCCAACTGTCGCCGAGTCATTACTTAAACCGGATGTTAATACCTGTTTAAAAGAATTTAGATTTGAAAAAGTATTATCGCATAATATTGTAAAATACTTCAAAACTAAAAAAAATTGGCGCTTAGACTTATTACTTCATATTTAAGTAACAGAACTCAAAAAGTCGTCATCAATGGTAAATGTTCCTCCGGATCGGTAGTATCAATGGGCGTTCCTCAGGGCTCGATTTTTGGCCCATTCCTGTTCTTAATCTATATTAATGACTTACCTTATCTTGTAGGGGACAATCACGATATAGTATTATTTGCTGACGATACCTCTTTAATTTTCAAACTGAAACGGCAGTCAATTAAATATGACGATATAAATAATGCTCTATCGAAACTAGTACATTGGTTTAACGCCAACAATTTGCTCTTAAACGGCAATAAGACAAAATGTATTAAATTTACAATACCTAATATAAAACATTCGAAAACTAATGTGCTTTTAAATGGGGAGGAGTTGAGTCTTGTGGATACCACTGTTTTTCTTGGTATTACTAATGACGCGAAACTTCAATGGGGCTCCCATATATCTAAATTAGCAAGCAGACTTAGCTCTGCAGCATATGCTGTAAGAAAGATTAGAAGTCTCACAGATGTTGAGACAGCTAGGTTAGTGTATTTTAGTTACTTTCATAGCGTAATGTCTTATGATATTTTGCTATGGGGTAATGCGACTGATATTGAAGCTATATTTATTTTGCAAAAGAGAGCCGTACGGGCGATTTATAATCTAAATTGTAACGAGTCCCTCAGAGAAAAATTTAAAGAAATAAACATATTAACTTTGGCATCGCAATATATTTATGAAAATGTAATGTATGTACATAAAAACATAAATAGCTTTAATAAGAATAAGGATGTTCATGCCTTAAACACTAGGCACAAACATAAGCTTGTAATGCCAGTTACTAGACTCCACAGAATTAGTAATTCATTTATGGGGCAATGTATACGCTTTTATAACAACGCTTTTATAATATCAATGAATACATGAATGAAAATAACCCCTGGGAATAAGGTGATCGCCACCATGCTGGTTCTATGAAAATTCATTTAAAATTGTATAAACAAAATTATTGTTAAGTGAAATTATGTTTAAAAAAAAGTCCCACTGGGTTTCTTGCTGGTTCTTCCCAGGACAGAGGTGTTTTCCGAACCAGTGGTAAATAAAATAATGACTTTCAATAAGTATTATGTAATAATCCATATTGAATAAAAATCATTCTATTCTATTCTATTCTATAAAAACTAAACAAGCGTGAGTGTCGTGGAATGCTCGGTTGGAACGAAGTTCCTTTTGTAGTATATTATTATTGATAAATGTATTATATTATTGATTAACAAATACAAATAAATGAACTACTAGCATCTATTAAAATGAAGAGTCATTTAAAATATTTCTTTCAAGACAAGATAAAAAAGTGCGAGGTAGATAGATATTATTCCATCTCGCTTCGTCATAGCCGCCAAGGCCGTCTACACTACGTCAGAAGGGGTCGTGACGGAAAAATCTTACACTTTTTCTCGCCTAGCCACCATCCGCCAAATCCGTACCGTCCGAAAAAGAATTTCGTTCCTAAAAACATGTGTGCAGTTCACACAAGGTAGAATACTAAACAATGCAGAGTATCAGGAGTAGGATAGTTGTAGGGTATATTTATTGTAATATTGTTACCAAGCTTAAGAATTATATTAAACAATATATATTTTATTATAGATAATAGGAAACACTATATATTGTATCATATTTCATTCTCTCGCAGACAAAATCCTAAAGATTTATATGTTTGTCTCTTTTTAGTGTCGCTTTTTCGTTTCATCGAGTTTAAAATTACGATTCTAAAGAAGTTATCAGTTCAAAATGGAGACCGAGATAATAGGGAAACACTGTATACTGTGTTCTATCTCATTCTCTCGCAGGCATAATCCTATAAATTTATATGTTTGTCTCTTTTTAGTGTCGCTTTTTCGTTTCATCGAGTTTCAAATTACGATTATAAAGAAGTTATCAGTTCAAAATGGAGACCGAGATAATAGGGAAACACTGTATACTGTGTTCTATCTCATTCTCTCACAGGCTTAATCCTATAAATTTATATGTTTGTCTCTTTTTAGGGTCGCTTTTTCGTTTCATCGAGTTTCAAATCATGATTCTGAAGAAGTTATCACTTCAAAAAGGAGACCGAGATAATAGGGACTGTAGACTGTATTCTATTTCATTCTCTCGCAAAAAAAATCCTATAGATTTATATGTTTGTCTCTTTTTAGTGCCACATTTTCGTTTCATCGAGTTTCAAATTACGATTCTAAAGAAGTTATCACTTCAAAAAGGAGACCGAGATAATAGGGAAACACTGTATACTGTATTCTATATCATTCTCTCGCAGAAAAAATCCTATAGACTTATATGTTTGTCTCTTTTTAGTGTCGCTTTTCCGTTTCATCGAGTTTCAAATCACGATTCTAAAGCAGTTATCACTTCAAAAAGGAGACCGAGATAATAAGGAAACACTGTATACTGTATTCCATCTCATTCTCTCGCAGGCTAAATCCTATAGATGTGTATGTTTGTCTCTTTTTAGTGTCGCTTTTCCGTTTCATCGAGTTTCAAATCACGATTCTAAAGAAGTTATCAGTTCAAAATGGAGACTGAGATAATAGGGAAACACTTTATACTGTATTCTATCTCATTCCCTCACAGGCTTAATCCTATAGATGTATATGTTTGTCTCTTTTTAGTGTCGCTTTTTCGTTTCATCGAGTTTCAAAACATGATTCTAAAGCAGTTATCACTTCAAAAAGGAGACCGAGATAATAAGGAAACACTGTATACTGTATTCCATCTCATTCTCTCGCAGGCTAAATCCTATAGATGTATATGTTTGTCTCTTTTTAGTGTCGCTTTTCCGTTTCATCGAGTTTCAAATCACGATTCTAAAGAAGTTATCAGTTCAAAATGGAGACTGAGATAATAGGGAAACACTTTATACTGTATTCTATCTCATTCCCTCACAGGCTTAATCCTATAGATGTATATGTTTGTCTCTTTTTAGTGTCGCTTTTTCGTTTCATCGAGTTTCAAAACATGATTCTAAAGAAGTTTGCACTTCAAAATGGTATGTTAGTAACGATTATATCATATGTTCTCTATTATTAAATGGTTTTGACATTTATTGCTGTATAGAGGTTACGTAAGAGAACCCACCACCCCATATTATCCCATGAGAGATGTTATAGGAGACAGAGGTAAATGAAACAAGAGAGGGATAGATATCTCTCCATCTTCCTTAAAACAACTCAAAATAATAAAAAATATGGTTGCCAACCGCAAGCGGCGAAACTAACATGGCGCCTTTTGATAGGATGTAACTTTAATAAATGAAAGAATGAATGATGTTTGTAACAATATTCTCAACAATATACTCATTAAATGTACGTAACAAAAACGCCACGACGTAATTATGTTACATTATTTGAATTATAATTCACGTAACTCAATAGACGAGAAACGAACCTTGTAATTTTTTTAACGAACGAATCTTGTCTTGACACTATCGTTTAATCTAATTCTCAGATCCAAAGTGTAGACAAATGTGAAAGTGAAAGAAAACAAAGTGACACAAGTGACGAGGTCATGTGCCCAAAGTGTTTTTTATAATTATGACTTAGTTAGAAAGTAGCCATGTACCGGCCTAACTTCTACGAGAGCACTTGCTTTCGGTGCAACGAGATTGTGTACCAAGTGGATCGTGTGGGACCACTCAAGGACTTCACTTTCTTCCATAGTGGCTGTTTCAAGTGCGCAGTATGCGGGACCAAACTCACTTTAAAAGTAAGTATTCGGTAATATAATTCACTATTATGATACTACTCTGATAAAGCTCAGATAATCTAAGTGGTCCTTTTAAAAATTCATGCCGCGATCGTGTAGTAGGCTGTAATGATAATTTAGTAATTAAGCGATTGAAATGCTGTGTGTCTCCGTTATTAGCGTATCAAATTGTCCTAGATTCATACCTCAAATGCTAAATGCTAAAATTATGATGAAGTCAATATAATAATGTCATAAGGAAATTTTTTGTCAACAATCGGAAACAAATTGTCGGATTCGAGGATTACCATGTCCTCCCCCTCTCTTCGGACCTCGGATAATCCTATAATATGCCAGCGTAACTTGTCTATCTCTTCTTCCAGCTCCAGGATCTTCTCGTCAGTCCTCAGGGTGCGTGCGTTATATGTTGCCAGGTCAAGTCGTCGTAGGTGGCAACTGAACCTCCACCGGAAATTTTTAGCACCCCCTGCCCCACCGTTACCATGGTCGCCACCGTAGCCAGGAATAGCGGCGTCGCCGGGGACTGGGGGCCGTCTCTTCGTAACTTTAATCAATGGGGGTTTATTGCCATAGTTGCCAAGCTTGGCGAGCGGGTTGGCGACCGTCGTTGTTTTATTGTTGTTTTGCTGTTATCAGAAAGATGCTGCTGTCCATCTTCTGCCTCAGTTTCCTTCTGTCGCCTCTTTCAACACCCACGGGAAGATATGGAGTAGTGGGTATTCTTACTCGCCACTACACGGGGCATATTAAGATATAATATTTTTTCTTTTCTTTTTCTTTTTTTTTTTAAAAACGTTACCCCCACACTATGATTTTCTCCTGTATCGTGGAGGCAGTTTACAAACACAAATTTCACAAGGACAAACATCCAAACCCGGAACAATCATTTGTAGGCCATACAAATACTTGTTCCGTGCGGGATATTAGTAGGCAAATCAGATATGGTAGGTAGCTATTTATTTATTGCTATGTCTTTGCGGAGTAATTCTTTTGTAAGTATTCTCTGGCTGTGCGAGTGAATTTTCTTTATCACCCCTTGGTGCTTGGCACCCGCGGCGGACCGCCCCCCCTCCCCCCACCTTTACGCCGCCACTGTCACTACCCGAGACCCGAGACAAATAGAAAAATATATCTTTTTAATTCAAAAGGGTTTATACGATAAAGACGGGGATATTGATAAGAGGCAACAGCAAGGTCGTTTAAATGCCAAGCAACATGAAGATAGGGCGTAGATCAAGGCCGCTTTGTAAAATCATAACTCGTTCTACCACAATGCAGTCGCAGCACTGATCTCATAAATATAAAAAAACAAAAGTCGTATGACGATGAAGCCATCTTTAAAAAGAGTATCAGTATTTAAGAGGATATAATGTTTACCATCGGCGACTTATTTTGCTTTCTGTAATTAACAAAAAATTAACAAAGTCATCGTCTTTCATTTTTTAAGCAGGATCTTACCCAGGTATTTTAATAGATGTCTTCAAGTATGACTTAGAGCCGATTTTTCGCTTGTATACTGTGAGACAGTACTAATTTAAAAAAAAACGAAACAATTGAACTATTTATTTAACTCGTACAACTTTAATTTTTTAGTTGTATAAGTATATTGATTTTTATTCAATGAATATCTTTTATATGACGATTGAAACATCGACCTTACGACCTTTTTAAAAAAGGTTTGCGTTACATCTTTAAGCAAGGGATACATTTTTAATTTTGTGAATCATAGTCTTTTACGAATTCTCTCAAAAGTTAACGGCCGAAAATAAGAGTCTCCCGTTGTGGAAAGAAGCACCGTCGTAAGAGAACACAACATCCCATTTCGTCCCATGGTGTCGTAAAAAGTGACTGGGATGTATCAGAAATATCTCTTGGCTTCCGATAGATGGATATAACCATTTTGATACGCCAGACAAAAGTTAACGGCTGAGAGTAAGAGTCTCCCGTAGTGGAAAGAAGCACCGTCGTAAGAGAACACAACATCCCATTTCGTCCCATGGTGTCGTAAAAAGTGACTGGGATGTATCAGAAATATCTCTTGGCTTCCGATAGATGGATATAACCATTTTGATACGCCAGACAAAAGTTAACGGCTGAGAGTAAGAGTCTCCCGTTGTGGAAAGAAGCACCGTCGTAAGAGAACACAACATCCCATTTCGTCCCATGGTGTCGTAAAAAGTGACTGGGATGTATCAGAAATATCTCTTGGCTTCCGATAGATGGATATAACCATTTTGATACGCCAGACAAAAGTTAACGGCTGAGAGTAAGAGTCTCCCGTAGTGGAAAGAAGCACCGTCGTAAGAGAACACAACATCCCATTTCGCCCCATGGATATCGTTAAAAGTGACTATGGGATGTATCGGAAATATCTGTTGGCTTCCGATAGATGGATATAACCATTTTGATACGCCAGACAAAAGTTAACGGCTGAGAGTAAGAGTCTCCCGTAGTGGAAAGAAGCACCGTCGTAAGAGAACACAACATCCCATTTCGCCCCATGGATATCGTTAAAAGTGACTATGGGATGTATCGGAAATATCTGTTGGCTTCCGATAGATGGATATAACCATTTTGATACACCAGACAAAAGTTAAAGGCTGAAAATAAGAGTCTCCCGTTGCGAAAAGAAGCACCGTCGTAAGAGAACACAACATCCCATTTAGTCCCATGGATATCGTTAAAATTGACTATGGGATGTATCAGAAATATCTCTTGGCTTCCGATAGATGGATATAACCATTTTGATACGCCAGACAAAAGTTAACGGCTGAGAGTAAGAGTCTCCCGTAGTGGAAAGAAGCACCGTCGTAAGAGAACACAACATCCCATTTCGCCCCATGGATATCGTTAAAAGTGACTATGGGATGTATCGGAAATATCTGTTGGCTTCCGATAGATGGATATAACCATTTTGATACACCAGACAAAAGTTAAAGGCTGAAAATAAGAGTCTCCCGTTGCGAAAAGAAGCACCGTCGTAAGAGAACACAACATCCCATTTAGTCCCATGGATATCGTTAAAATTGACTATGGGATGTATCAGAAATATCTGTTGGCTTCCGATAGATGGATATAGCCATTTTGATATGCCAGACGTAAGAATCCCAGACGTCAATCACAGTGGCAAACGTATTGCACGTTTGTCACTGCCGGCTAGCGTATTCACTTTTACGGGAACCACTTCTACTAGTTAGGAAAAAGCGTGAAATCATTTATTTCATTGGCATATTCATAAAGTAACTGTTACAAGACAAAAGAACAGAATCAACTCAAACAGTAACAACTGTCGATATAATCGAAATTATTAATCCAAAGTAAACGAGAGTGAAAAAATAATAATGTTACAGATGAGATGTTCTGTTCATGAGTCACCATTTTACTCCTTGAGTTATTAACCTGAATTACTCATTGCTTACATTATTTAATCATGCTGTAATTTTATGAGCCATTATAATATTTTACACAAGTCAACGATTTACAATATCGATCTCGATATATATTGGTATGTACAACCATCACTAACATTGGTATTAAACGTAGACAGAAAATCCAGTAGACGGCGGGGTAGCGTAACCGTTATTCTGCCTTTCATTCAATCATCACAGTGCTGCCATTTTAGCAATTTTACCCACAAAATAGGGAGACTTTACTTGTGAAACGTACGTCAGTAATTCTACGATAATAACTAAAGCAAATGAAACAAATCATCATTATCATCATCATCATTACAGCCTAAGTCCACTGTTGAACATAGGCCTCCCCCAAGGAATGCCACAAAGCACGGTCATGAGCCACCTGCATCCATCGACTTCCTGCATGTCTTACGAGTACCAGGTCGTCACTCCATCTCGTGGGGGGTCGCCCTACACTTCGCCTAGCGGTACGAGGCTGCCACTCAAGAATCTTTCTTCCCCATCGGTTGTCGGTTCTTCGAGCTATATGGCCGGCCCACTGCCACTTCAGCTTACTAATCCGTTGGGCTATGTCGGTTACTCTGGTTCTACTGCGGATATCCTCATTCCTAAGTTTATCACGCAGAGAAACTCTGAGCATAGCCCTCTCCGTAGCTCGTTGAGCGACCTTAAGCTTCCTCATACGGCCAGGCAGTGAACGACCACGTCTCAGATCCTTAAGTCGTCACTGGCAACACGCACTGGTTGTACAATTTCGTTTTAAGGTTTTGAGGTATGTCTGACGATGACGAATGAAACAAATAGATAATATTAATAACAAATATTAAAACATATATATTTGTTAAGAAAATCGTAATGATTACACTTAGGTACAGGTATTGGTAATTCCATTTTAATTATTATTGTCCTTGAAATAAAACATGAAATGAATGAATATTCCTAATTTTTTCAATGGACTCGCTAATTTTTGTGGTTTTGTGGTGTATTCTTATTTGAAATTCTTTTAAAGCAACATATCATCACATCATCTACGTGGTAGAGCCATGCTGCAGCTATATTATGGTTGTAGCACGAATGGGTCGGCTCGAATGGGGAAGGACCACGCTCTCACAGAAAACCAGCGTAAAATAGCAGCTTAACGCTGCTGTGTTTCGTATGGTGAGTGTAGAGAACCGGAGACCCTTTTTACTGGCAAAGAGGCATTCCATCTTAGTCCTCACGGGTGACAACGCATCTGCATCTTGAGTCTTTATTGAGGATAGATGTAGATGTCTATGGGTCACAGTAACCACTTACCATCAGGTGGACTGTGTGCTCGTTTGTCACCCGATCCTATAAAAAAAAACAGCTTTAACGAGAAGGTGGTCTGTGTAAATAAGGTTCAATCGAGTTAAGTAGATTGCTATCCTTTTCGTTAACGAGAGCTTTGGCCTTAAACTCTTCAAGAACTTGTTACAGATTAGCCACTTTTATTTTTAGACGCCTTGTTTTCTGACGAAGAGCACGCACCATTTTCAACCTCTGCCCCGACAGATTTTAATCCATTAAACCTATTAGCGGCCGTTATTGATCGCAAACAAAAGATTTCCAATTGTGTTCATAATGTTATGTCACCTATATCATATACGGCGATATACAGATGGTAACACGCTCTGTGTTAGCGGTGATAATTTAACTAAAACGCGGTCCTTCACTGCTGTATGGGGAATCTCAGTCACTTAGCGTACGATAAAAACAGCTATACTATATTTTATCTAAGGTTATCTGCAGAAGAACAAGCTTAACTGACATAGCCTAGCGTGTCAGTTAAGTCTAGTGGTAATGGTAAGCTGGTCGCATAGCTCATAAATCAAATTTCGACGTTGTACTAGAAAGCGCAGCTTATAATGGGGTTCGCCCAAATCTTCTTTAGAAAAAGTTACGACCTGATGAAATAAGTGGGTAATCGATGGATGCACTTGATGATATGACACATGATTATATTTTTATTTATAGAGTTAAAGGTTTTCTAACGTTGAGGTGATGAGGTTGCTCCAGCAGATTTCATCCATTATATACTCCTAGTTATTTATTTATTTACCTTTACATACATTTTAATGTGTATAGGCGGACTTAATATATAAGCCATTATCTACCAGTGTACCTTAAATAAAAGCGGTAGCTGTAATAAGAAAATACAGAAAGTCTATATGTACATACATATTATAAATATATATATATATAATGTATTTTTAACTATTTATAACTTTTATATTATAGTTATCCATCTATTTTAACACGTTCTATATGCATAAATTGCACTTAAATAAACATCTAGACCCAGAATAGACAGCATTTGTTTCGTGTAACGCAAAAACAAACGGAGTACGTTGTCACCTCTGATCAATAAAGTGGGATGCATCTAACACAAAAACATCTCGTGGTCCTTCTCCGGTCGAACCGACTCATTCTTACAGCAGCCATAATTCAGCTGCGTGGATCTGCCACTTACTGATATTATGTATTGTACAACCGATGTGCTGAATGTTTAATAAAATTATACATTACAGAAATAATAATTAAACATTCGACAACCATGTGAAAAACAATGCGACGTGATAGTATATGAAAGTAAAATATCATATCCGCCATTTAAATGAACTATGTAACCATTTCACAGCGGGTTTATTTCATTAAAACTTTTGTTTCATTATCCATTATAACTTGATCTCTATTTGCTTCGGTCAATTATAAACGTGTAGACTGTATTGAACGTGCGAGAAATCAGGTTAAATTGGTTTTAGCTATTGTAATGCACGGTATGAATCAGCTATAAATAGCGACAAAACTCACTTAATTGAATGGGCTTAACAGTTTTTAACTTTGTCTAAATGCATTCGATATAACAACAAACATTGTAATTAGCTGTAAAACTAAAAATTGTTTTAAGGTTTATAAAGATAAGCAATATTTTATATTATACACAGTTAAACTTTAGTCTTAGAAAAAAAAAGTCAAATTTAATAGATTAAAGAAGAATTAATAGAGATTTTAACAATATGAATAGAGTGACTGTATTAATATGAAGACAAAAAAAATAAACATACATGTGAATATAAAATTCAAATTTGAAAAGATAATACGACTAAATATTTTATCAGCATTTATACAAGTCTCAACATTCAAAGATATACTAGTTTAAGAGCAAGTGAGCGGCAGACTTACGGTATTTCCATAAGCTTCACTTTTTTTTCAGTTAATCCCCTAGGTACCTGAGGTACATGAAATGGGGAACTCTTTAGTTTGACAGACGGACGATATAGAGACGCTCAGGTGTTAAAGGTGTAAAAAAAATGACCAAAGAAAACGTGGTAGCAATAAGTCTGCCGATTTGACATCTTGAAAGATTTAATAAAAGTTACCGAAAAATAACATTGAACAGACACCTATGAGGGTTTCAAGGTCATGGCAGACAGGTTGAAAAGTATATATATATATATATATATATATATATATATATATATCTGTAGAATAATTAGAGTTTCCGAAAAATAACATTGACAGACACCTATGATGGTTTCAAGGTCATGGCAGAGAGGTTGAAAAGAAAAGTACAATTTTTTATTAATAATTTACGTTATTTGCATATATTCAGACAGATAATAAACTTCTGTGGAGTCCATAAGCTCGTACTATAATAGCACTTGCTCCAATACAGTCGTTAAATCATTACATTAATTGAAAGTAAATACTACCACTTCATGTTGATTGCAATTAATGACAATTACGGATTATAAAGAAAATAAATGTCGAATTAGCACACAATAGTTAATATTAATGTATTTATGTTTTAAAGTAGTGATGTCATAATAATATTAATTTATTAATGAAAATGTTTATTACGTATTTTATTTAAAAAAAACCTCAATAATTTTAAGAATATTCAAATAGGTAATATTATTCTTGGCTCTTCGGAGTTATAGCCTTCAGGTTCATCGTAAGATGCATCAATTCCATCGTGATCTACATTCTCATCATATATATATATATATATATATATATATATATATATATCTGTAGAATAATTAGAAACAGAATCAACCTACGCATCAATTACACGAGCGGGAATATGCCCAGAAGTAATAAAAAAAATCTGTGAATTTGTCGGTAGGTGTTGCGTACGACAATTTACCTTAAACGATACCGTGAGATCTTTTATCAAAATATTGATTTAACCGTTGAAAACAATACTCCAAAATTTGATGCAGGATCGCAGAGTTATATAAAAAAACGTAGAATGAAGTCTTTGAAAACTATAGAAACCGAATTAACTCCATACCCATGAAGCCTAGAATGACTAGTACTTTTCAGTCTGTATCTGACAAAGAAGATAATTTCCCTCAAAATTTAGAACTCTATACCCGAATAAATACTGTTTGGATGTTAAGTCATGCTCTGTGCTTACCAAATATTCCAATATGGGTTGGGTTTAATAGTCAAATCACCAATGATGTCCAGTCCACAACAATTAGTTTCTTACCTGACTGTCTTCGAAACAATGCTGCAGAGCATCAAAGAAAATAATACGTGTATATTTAAATGGTTTGACGGAGATCAGATGCATAGTTTTTTGAACGAATTAGTCGCAGATCTACCAGGCATTTTTCTTTTATATGAATTTATACTTTTAAATTACTTATTTTATTATAATTGGCTTGATTTACAAATTGAAACTCATTCTTTGCAGAAATAATTCGGTCTGATGATGAGAATGTAGATCACGATGGAATAGATGCATCTTACGATGAACCTGAAGGCTATAACTCCGAAGAGCCAAGAATAATATTATTTGAATATTCTTAAAATTATTGAGGTTTTTTTTAAATAAAATACGTAATAAACATTTTCATGAATAAATTAATATTATTATGACATCACTACTTTAAAACATAAATACATTAATATTAACTATTGTGTGCTAATTCGACATTTATTTTCTTTATAATCCGTAATTGTCATTAATTGCAATCAACATGAAGTGGTAGTATTTACTTTCAATTAATGTAATGATTTAACGACTGTATTGGAGCAAGTGCTATTATAGTACGAGCTTATGGACTCCACAGAAGTTTATTATCTGTCTGAATATATGCAAATAACGTAAATTATTAATAAAAAATTGTACTTTTCTTTTCAACCTCTCTGCCATGACCTTGAAACCATCATAGGTGTCTGTCAATGTTATTTTTCGGAAACTTTTATTAAATATTTCAAGATGTCAAAGCGCCAGACTTTTTGCTATCACTTTTTTTTGTCATTTTTTACACCTTTAACACCTGAGCGTCTCTATATATAGGGATATATATAGGGGTTTAACTGAAAAAAAAGTGATGCTTATGGAAATTATACCGTAAGTCTGCCGCTCACTGGCTCTCGGAGAATTCACTTCACGGACATGCCCGCGGGCATGTCTGTTCGGGCATGTCTGTCGCCCCAATACACTACACAGGATCGCGCGGACGTTCAACAGGCAAGTCTGCCAGACCGACTGTGATGGTCCTACACTATCAAACTTTGCACAGACCTATATGCCCACGGACATGTCCGTCAAGTGAATTTCCCGCCGGGGAATTTATGCCATCTAAGTTATGCCATCTACATTAGATAACGCTTGTGCCCTTGGGTGCTTTATTTATTTCGTTTTTTATATTAATGAAAATAGTTGGGAGACATGAACATGAATCTGTTCACACTACGTAGATTTTTACTCTTTTCCATAAAAATTGCATTGGAGTCAGGGTTGAGACAGTTACGCCCCAAAAACCAAACAATTTTACCACTAGTAACCCAAAAACCAGCCCATCGCCCTTATAGTAAAAGGTCTAAAATATCCACTTGAGGAATCGGAAAAAAAATCGACATTGTGCTTACTTTTATAATATGGTGCAAACGGGCAGGAATCGTACGTTCTTTGCTTCTGAATTAATTAATCACGAACAATTGTTATTATGAATGTATGTATGCATTCGTAACTTAATCGCGTACGTGACAATATGTACAGCCTCTGGATAAACTGACGGAATGGGCACTCGCTTCACTGTTTAGTTTTGTTGATTGGCAATTATTTTTTTAGGTGCATTCATTTTCACGAATTACATTTACATGTTAATTACAATTTCTCTGATTGAACATTGTTTTTTTTTTTTTGTATCCTTACTTAAAATAATTAACGCTGTAATATGAAAGTTCAATTTTGTTTATTTTTACTATTATTTATATATTTTTTTAAATTAAACTTAAGAATTTTACTTATCGATCTCACAGAGATAAAATGGGATGATGGATTTCTGGGTCTGTGTGTGTTGTATTTAAATCTCTAGAACAAAAAACACATCAATACATTCTTACCTTTACTTGTGTATACCATAAAACATAAATTAATTCGGTTTATTAAGCCCAAGTGTTCTTTCACAGACATACTACAATAACCAACACTGGACGGAAGATAAAGAGGTATATTGCTCCAGCCACGTGCCGAAGATTGGGCCGGGCCACCTCGACAACTCCTCGGTGGGCATCCGTAGTGCGCTGAACGTACCACGGAGTAATAACTATGTTAACGAACAAATACGAGGGCTCGCGCGCAATAGCCACGACAATGAGTGTGAGTACTTGTTAAGTTTTTTTTTCATCTGCAAAAGAGGCCAGATAAATGATGAAATCACTTACTATTGACACTAGGGATTTGTGTGCGTGTGCGCGTGTGTATGTGTGTGTGTGTGTGTGTGTGTGTGTGTGTGTGTGTGTTTGTTTGTTTGTGTGTGTGTGTGTGTGTGTGTGTGTGTGTGTGTGTGTGTGTGTATGTGCGTGTATGTGTGTGTGAGTGTGTGCGCGCGCGTGTGTGTGCGTGTGTGTGTGTGCGTGTGCGTGTATGTGTGCGTGTGCGTATGCGTGCGTGCGTGCGTGCGTGCGTGCGTGTGTGTGTGTGTGTGTGTGTGTGCGTGTGTGTGTGTGTGTGTGCGTGCGCGTGTGTATGTATATGCGCTGTATATTTATATTCAATTAAGGGTCACAAACGAGCACACTAATCCACCTGATGGTAAGGGGGTGCTCAGGCCCATAGACACCTAAGTAAATTCTCGATTATCAAACAAAACGAAGATATCACAATTTGAAAATATTTCGGATTCATCACATGTCTTCGAAATATGTATTTATATTTCTCAGACATTCAGATTTCCCCACGATGACAATGATACTGGCATGGCATTAACTGTAACAAGGAATAAAAAGATAATATGTAACAATAAGTAATTACATACATCAATACAATTCAAGCGTTCCTAATCCGATCCTGCGTACAAGCACACCTGAGGTCATCCTTGTAAGACGCCAATGCGTCGAAACAATGGACGCAACCTTGTTCAGCTTTGTCGAGGTTTATTGACCACTCACAATGAGGTGACAATCAGCATCGACTGGCGTCTAACTAGATTTCATTTAGGGTCGTACTGAAGACCACTAAGCGGTGAATACTGGACATTAATAAAACGAACTATACGGTTTTCATTTGAACGAAGTTACTTATCGGTCGGTAAGAATTTGGCGGATGGGAGCTAGGGAGAAAAAGTGTAAAATTTTTAATTTTTCCGTCACGATTGGGGTTCCCAACCCTGCCGGATCCCGGACACGGCTGAATACGGTACTTCACCAAACTCACAAAAATTAGATGCTGCTTAATAAATTATTGAGATTTTCTTTCAAACTGTTTTTTTTTCTTTGATATTATAATATGTACGACGTGGTGGGACTCCCTTTATGGAGTCTGGGAAGGTAGATCTTCTTTCCTATTTCTGCCATCAAATAAAAGGGCCTCCACTTTCCGGTCTCCGTGTTCCGGTCTAAGGTGTAAAGAGCTAGTATAATTACAGGCGTGACTCACAGCCTGTGAGGCATTCTATTTTAGTGCTGAGGTGACAACGCATCTGTAGCGTTCATTGTTTGATGTTGGCTACAGGTGTCCATGGACTGTAGTAGCCACTTACCATCAGGTGAACTGTAATTTTGTAATTCGATTTCATATAAAAATAGAAAATATGTAAATACTACGACGTCAGAACGTTAAACACCTTCTTTCTTTCACCTGACGCTAAGAATGTGAAACGTAGGGAGTTAAACGAACATACATATACATTTCACCTAAAATATTACTTATTCCACTTTTGCGTTGAAACGGAGCATGAATTCTTGTACCTACTATATTTATTCTATGGTATGAAGGTGATTTAAAAAAAGAAGATTGTAGCTACCTTTAGTTATATTTTAAAATATAAATATAGAACAAAAAAGTATATTATTAGATAGTAGATTTTATTGGTCAGTGTTCACATAAGTTTCGACATCTTTTCTTGTAATTCGATTTGAAAAATAATCGAGAATTGCTCTAGCTTAATAATAATCACAGCGTTTAGTAATAACGATCTAACTCCTAAAGGGATACAATACCGTACGTTTTATAACATTGTCTAATACACCTCAATTTAACATTTAAAAATTTACAAATATGAAACCAAGTAGGTACTTGCTATAAATCTGTTGAAAACAAGAAGAAAACGTCTATCTAAAATCAGCAAACCTGCAAGAATCCGGTCGGACTTCCGAAGAAGGTGGCTGCTGTACGGTACATTCGAATACCGCGAAACACGGCAAAGTTCGGCGCTTAGAAAGAGAGAGCTTGTGTAATGTGAAAGAGATACGTGATCGGTTGCAAAACAACCGGCCGCATTCCTTAGCGACAGCCCAGTGACCTAAAGCTCAGCGACTAGGGAGCGGAACGCAACCTGTTCTATTATGACCTAGGGTCAATAAAATACATATATCTGTTGATTAATTATATGATTTATATGAATAACGGAAGAAATACACCTAAATGACATCAAGATATAACAAATTTCTTCCTTTTTGAAAATAGTCTAATATAAACTAGTTTTTACTGATTTTATCGCGTATATTAACTTATTTTATATTCGCCAAATTTCGAGCAATTTACTGCACCCATGGTCGCGGGTGACTGAGATGTTCAACGTCCCAATTCCCAATATCATAGTTAACCACGGCTAACTCCACATTAAAATTATAAATCTTTGTTCCGATCTACGCTGTACGAACTTTAGTATTTTGAAGTATTGCAGCTTTATGCTTGGGTTGGGATTTAATTTTATTAATTATAGGATCCCAAGCAGATGGTAGCACACAGCTTTCTTGTCTATTGAAGTTAGGTAGAGTAGGTATTATAAAGTTATACGGTGTCATCATTTTTTTACTTTATTAAACAAAACTTAAAAAATATGTAACAGGAAACATTTTATGTATGTGTATGTTACTGCCTGTATGAAACCAACGGCTTACTACAAAAAGTTATACATCTGCATAATAAATACTTTAGCACCGCTAAACAAAAATACGTAACTCAAATTAATACTTAGCATTAAATGAATCTTCGTCTGAAATTAAAAATTTTCCATATTATCAAAATAACGCCGCTAATTACACCTGATTTTTTGTTGACATCCTCAATTTGTATTTTCAGTTTTTGCCCTAAAATAATCTTACGATATCATTAGGAAAATCAATCAAAAATATTTATTGAGTAACCCGAACGTTAATTATACATGGCTAAACATCTATAATGAGAGTGATGATCTTAGTAGGTATATATCCTATGGTGCTCAAAACCTTAAGTTTCACTCTGTATTTTTTACACAGTCCAACTGATGGTAAGTGGTTCCTGTGGCCCATAGACATCTACCTAAATCTATCCTTGTTTAGAAACCAAAATGCAGGTGCGTCGTCATCCCTATGGACTAAAATAGAATGCCTCATTACTAGTATAACAGATCTCGGGTTATTTTACACTCACCATGAAAAACACTGCAGCATTAAGCTACTAACTACTAATACGTCACGTTGGTATTTTGTGAGACCGTGGTCCTTCCCGATTGAGCCGACCGATTCTTACTACAACCAAAATATAGCTGCAGCATGGCTCTACCACGTATGAATATACTAAGTCTAATACTACAATAGTTTCGAAAGACACGAAATAATTTAAATGAAACATTTGTAACATTACGTTGCAACAAAATAAGAACCGTGTATATCTATTTTTGCGGTTGAATGAAAATACACTCTCAGTGCAATAGACAATACAATTTTTTTTTCTCACGCTTCAAGGTGATGTAAATACCTACTTGCATATGTCCATCCTGCTGGTTTAATTTGTTAGCAATTGTTGTTTATTTAGAAGCTGACATTCAATTAAATTAATGTCTAGACTTTTAATCGAATCTATATCATCATTACAGCCTTTCATAAGTCCACTGCTGAACATAGGCCTCCCCCAAGGAATGCCACAAAGCACGGTCCTGAGCCACCTGGATCCATCGACTTCCTGCATGTCTTACCAGGTCGTCACTCCATCTCGTGGGGGGTCGCCCTACACTTCGCCTACCGGTACGAGGCTGCCACTCAAGAACTTTTCTTCCCCATCGGTTGTCGGTTCTTCGAGCTATATGGCCGGCCCATTGCCACTTCAGCTTACTAATCCGTTGGGCTATGTCGGTTACTCTGGTTCTACTGCGGATATACTCATTTCTAAGTTTAACTAACTAACTACCGGCATAGGTGTGACATGGACATTAAACATGATCTTTGTTTTGTCCATGTTCATCTTAAGACCTATCCGTTGGGAGACACTATTGAGGTCATTGAGCATGGTGCTTAGGTCCTCCAGCGATTCTGCCATAAGGACTATATCGTCGGCAAATCGAAGGTGAGTGATGTACTCGCCATTGATGTTGATACCGTATCCTTTCCAGTCCAGAAGCTTGAAAACGTCTTCCAATGCAGCGGTGAATAGTTTCGGGGATATAACATCACCCTGTCTTACACTTCTCTGCAATTGGATAGGTTTCGTACTCTGGTTCTGTACTCGGATAGCCATCGTAGCTCTACTGTACAAACACTTCAGCACTTCGATATACCGACACTCAACTTGGCACCGCTGAAGGGACTGCAGCACCGCCCAAATTTCGACGGAATCAAAGGCTTTTTCATAGTCAACATACGCCTCTGAAAGACTTCAAGTACCGGTTTTCCACCCGCTTTCAGAAGCTCCTCTGTAATTCCATCCTCGCCTGGGGCCTTGCCGTTTTTAAGGTGCTGGAGAGCCATTCTAATCTCGCTCAGACTGACGTCCGGGATATCTTCGGAATAGTGTCGGACAAGACTCGCTTTGGATCGTTACTCACACTTGCGTGTGGCTCCAACGATAACGTGAACAGGTGCACACGAATCTATATACATACAAATAAATAAAAACTGAAGTGTCTGTTTGTAATGTCAATATAACAGCTTTTTACTAAATGCATAACAAAGTACGTATGGTATTTATAACGAAATAACAATTTTTAAAAATTTTGTCTGTCTGTCTGTTTGTTCCGGTTAATCTTCGAAACGGCTGGATTGATTTTGAAGGCACTTTGAATGGCAGATAACTGATGTTATAAGGAGTAACATAGGCTTCTTTTATATTAAAATTAAAAAAAGAATTAGGATTCTGCGCAAAAATATAAAAACCCATGAAATCCAATCATAATAAATTAC